TCTGTTCTTAGTGACTTTGGTCCTTTCATGACGAATAATAAAATTAAATAAAACCATGTAGATCGATGATTATTGTTCTTTATTGACATAAGTGTCCTTATTGACCTTCTTCGTTTCTAGAAAGCTAAGATCATATATGTCTATACTGATCATGCATTATTCATACACGAGCTGCATGCAGTACGGTGGCGTCAAGAGTATATTTGGTAAGTGTTTGCATGCACAACTAAGATTTCCTTTTTCTAATCCCTAATCAATATTAATAAAAAAAACAAATTCATTTTCAGTATCTTCTAGAAAATAAAACACAACAAACATTGAGTATTCATAGAAATGTGGTGGTCGTGGTTTCTAAATAAATGTCTGTTGATATTTCAATATTTGTTAATTTAATATAAAGGTATTCGTTTTAATTATGATGGAAAATATTCAATTAAATATAAAACAAATCGTAAAACATTATTTAATATATTAAAACAAAAGAAGAAATACAAAATTTTTACTTTATCAACGTCAAAAAGTTAATTTTAATAAAGATGAAAATATAAAAAGTGCTGAGGATTTTAAGTACGAAATTTTATTTAAACAAGTATTTATCTTTCATTTAAAATTTTGTTTTAGAAAATTATTTCCCAAATATACAACATATTCTGATTATAGATCTTATGTTATGGAAATTATGAATGATGGTCATGCAACAAATATTATGAGTGTTGGTTATCCCATTGCAGTAACAAATACAAGTGGAACCAGTGGAGATCCAAAACATTTTCCTGTGGAAGTAATGATAAGAAAGCAAGAGAAAAAAGACAAATATGTCAAAAAGCAATTGAGTACAACATACTGAAGAAATAGATGTATTGCAGAACAAAATCATCTACAAATGATACCCATAGTCTCGCGCTCCTTTTCTAAAGTCGTGTATTAAAATTACACAACATTAATTCAATATGATTATATACTTGCTTAACACGAGAAATGCTTGAATAGAAACAATTTGTTAGCGCAAATCCCTGTGAAGTTACGATGTAAACCACAATGAAGCTGCTGATATTATAAAAGAGGGGCTTAATCAATAAAATATTTCGGCTAATGAATTCTTATCCATTGTTAATACATGTCGATGATGAAAGATATTGATTGCAATATATTGCAGCGCGTGTGAAAGAAAAGTAAAGTACAACTATTACACTAATTTTGCAGTCGACTTTGATTTGACAATTATATATGTCACGTATGTGGGGAGGTGGCCAAATTTCTACTCTCTACTTCAACACTTCTTTTAGGCCATGTTTCACAAAATACAATGAATAAATATAAACTTGGGTAGTAACAAAACAAAAAACATGAAAATAATAGAGGTTTTAATGAATTATGTGTAGTGCACTTACTTGTTATCCTACGGGTTTAGTTTTAGATAAAACAAAATTTCTCAATACATAAAAAACTAAGAAAACATTTCATGATGATGGGCGTTAGGGATTAGTAGAATTGATTATTCACTGAAAAAGATGTAGTCATGGCGATGAAAAATGTATATTATAAAATAAGAGAAGAAAATATTAAACACAATTAGAATTATTGTGGTATTACATGTAGACTAAATATCTATGAAGACTGTCCGCTTTCATTGAATCGTCATCAGAGTTCATAAATTTATAATGAAAATATTATACCGTCGTTTTTTTTTATGTCATTTATTGTTAATATTAAAGTTTCTATTTATTCATCGTATTTTATATTCAAGCATTTCTCGTATTAAACGATGACATATATAAAGAATGGTGGGAAAATAGTCTGACAACAGCGTCATTTTGACTGTTTTTCTATGTTAAACACCTAGCTCAAATTCGGATAATGACTTTTAACAGCCAACAGAGTTTGTTATCAAATACATTGTATAATAATACCTCAAAAATGAACTATAATCGCAAGATTTCTCAAAAAACCGGGTACGATAGTTTTCAGATCTCAGAATCGATGTTTTTCACAATATTGTTTTAAAAACCACAAAATTCTGAACGAAATCAGCCAATGTGGCATTTTCTAAGACGTTCCTTTAAAAACTTGAGAGTATTACAAAACTGAAACAAGACGATTTTTTGATAGATTTTGTTTTGCTATGATTTTTGTGATGCTTTTAAGATACGTAATAATCTTCTTAACCTTCGATTCCATATAGTTTATTTGTGAATAAAAAGTTTAGATCTGTTCAAAGACTTGCATTTTTTTTTTACACTAAATCTTTTCTTCTCAGCAGTTGTATATCGTTTTATTCTTTTGAAAAATATACTACAGTAGTTATTCACTTGCTATCAATGAAGCATATGCTATATCTTATATGTTAACAAAAACTGTACCATGCAATCTTTTCAATGGATGTAAATCAATATCATTAAGCAATTTAAAATACGAAACGCAGGTGTCAAAAGATCATTTAAAAACATATAAAATGAGTGCCATAACAGCAATTGAAGCACGTGAGAAACAAAATATTGAAACAATATTAAAATTGGATCAAAATATTGTACCATCAATTATATTCAATGAAATAGCACAACAAAATGATTTATTTCTATTTATATCATTATGGTCATTACAATGTAAAGATTTAGAAATTATAACATCAACATTTATCATGGCAATAATACAGTTTTTTTACATTTATCGAACGAAAATTTGATTTAATTTGCATATATATTGAATTGGTATGTAGTAACACAATGTGTGTCAGAAAAAAACAAAGAAATATTCTTGCTATTGTCGGGTTTTTATTAAAATGCTAACCATAATTTTTTGAATCATTTTTTAATTTTTTATAGAACAATGTTGAAGACCTCTATCTGAGTAACATTTATTAAGTTCGAAGAAGTTTTTCATGGATAATTGCGAATGGACATATTTTTTGTTGTTCATTTTTCACAAATTTAAGTAACGACCCATGCTCAAATTACATCAAAATTCAGTCTAAAAATAGCTGTATTTCCCATAATTTTGAAAGCAATGTTATATATTTCATTCATTCTTTTAGGGTACAATACCAGCAGATGAATCATTATCATCACCTTGACCAATTAATGTACGTCTTGCCTTAGAATCAACAAAATATCATTTATCACCAAATCCAAGTCGTGCACAAGAACTACGTAAAATTGTTGGTGAAAATGGTTTTCATCATGTTAACACATGCTTTTGGCCCAATTTAAAATGTGGAGTATGTATAATAAGTCCAAGTATTCGACAATTTGAATTAAAATTATTATCAACATATTGGAATCCTGATATACCAATTTTTCCATATGTTTATGGTATGAGTGAACATCATCGTATTTCAGTACCATTAAAACCAAATTCATATAATTTAATACCATTACCACGTTCTGTTTATTATGAATTTATTGCATTGACCGATGATGATTATGATGATGATAATCAACCATCAGAGTCATTTGAATTACATCAACTTGAACGTAAGAATACGAATTTCTACTTATATCTTAGTAATTTATTATTTTTATAGAGAATAAATATTATGAAGTTGTATTAACAACATATGACGGTTTATATCGTTACAGAACAGAAGATATTATTAAAGTAACAGGGCATTATTATTCATTAACAACATGGCAACTTATTGGAAGGTTTGTTTGTTTCTCTAAAACGTACCGTAACTGCAACTATCACATATTGGTATTCGTTTTTATTAGAAAGTTATTAAAGAAGTATTTGTTCTTCGTCAATAGAGCGAAATCATTTGAATTATTTTCACCAATAAATAGATGAGGAGATTCTCTATCAAAAATTCATCATCTCTATGTTTTGGTTAATGATGTCTTAAGAAGAATCGACTGCCAATTCAAAATTGTTTGATTTTCTACTCTTAATTTTATCGTCTTTATAAAAGTTTCACAATGTTCTCTATCTATTGAACACATGCCAAGAATCAGTATAAAACTGTAAAGAATCAAACACTTTGAAGAGATGCCACATTTACACTTGGTTTTGTTTTTCATGAAAAATGAGTGTTTGACAAAAAAAAAACATTGAATCATCCCAATTTCTCAAACACAGTACCTCCGATTAGAAACACTTCAAAGAGTGTGTGGTATCTGAAAAAATTGTTTAGCTCCAAGACAAATATTACGCCTAAGAAAAGTAGACAAGCAGAGTACCTTTTTTAGCCATTGTGACCTCAATATCACTTGTGTAAAGTACGATCTTAAAACAGAGTGTTGAAGTATAGAAGTACCAATGTCGACTTTCCTCCCACAGATCGTATATCAATAACGCCTAATAAATGAACTATTTAGTTGCTGCATTTCTGAAGAATTTAGCAAAGTAATGTCGAAGGAATATGTTTTCAAATAGAAACAATAAAACAATCTCTATGTGATTAGTAACAACAGCTACATCATGTTTCACATTTAAATCCCACAAGAGTTGTACGAACAACTTTCAGAGGAACATTCAGAAATTCCAACTTATAATGAAATTCCACCCTGCTCATTGAGATCTATCTGTCGATATCCGCTTTAGTAAAAGGTTATAGTACGATGCTTATTTATTATCAGAATCGATTATCGAGATATGATAACGGGTGCTCCATAATGAATGACCGCACTTTGTATGTCATATTTTAATTACTAAATATGTTTTATTAAAAAAAATAAATACGCCACTATATGCGATGTGAAAAGCTCTAAAATTTACACAGGTCGCTAATTTTTTAGTTGTAATTTTTGTGTTCAAAATCGACAAAATTCTGAGCGATCAAATTTCGACGCTGCGAAAAGTTGCCCCCAGAATTTTGCTGTTTTTTTTGAAAACAAAAAATACGCAATTAAAATAAATTTTTTTTTGTAAAATGTACAGCCTCTCACGCTGCATCTTGTGGTATATTCTGTTTTTTTAAGATAGCGAATTAGGTGATAAAAAAAGAAATACGAAAAAAGGAATTTCTCGTTCGTTTAGAATTTTTGCAGCATGAAGAATTGGCGGCTCAGAATTTTCCTTTTTTCGAAAACAAAAGATGCATATATAAAAACAATTGTTGTTTGTAAATAGTAGAGCTTTTCACTAGAATCCTGCGGGACAGTCCCGAATCCCGAAAAATCCCATTTGTCCCACGGGACGAGACAATTCGCAAAAAAATGTTGTCCCGAAATTTTTGAGCTTGTATGTCGAAATCCGTTGTAAACTTTAAATTTCATATTTTTCACAAACATTTTAGTATTTCAATAAAAAGTGTCAAAGAAAAACACAATAAAACAAGCCACAAGATGCTTTAATGTCTGTCTATTATCATTCTCTTTATCAGTTATTTTACCTCTAATGCCATTTAAGCACATCATCTTATTTGGTTAACGCACTTCACCGATCAATTAGTGTATGGATGAGAACGAGAGTGTATTCAAATTACAGTTGTACTTTATATTAATCTTTTTTCTAAACTTGGCTACAGGCAGATAAATACTTTTTAATATTTGAAGTTCGGAGATTTCGCTCGACCAATAGCAAATTTTAAATTTTATCCGTATCTGAACGTTTTTCCTGATCGATATTGTATAGTCAATAATCCTTATCAGAAATTCATAAATCATCTCATAATCATAGATATGAATAAATTGTTTCGATTGATCGTATAGAAGAGACGTATTGCTATTGAACAAAACCACATCTTTATTTTTTTCAGTTTACGGGACAAACGGGATTCGGGACATAGAAAAGTTTGTTCCGCAGGTCTCTAATTTTCACGCTACATCTTATGGTGTATTTCGTTTTTTTTAATAAAACATATCTGGTGGTAAATAAGAAAAAAACACATTTGTCTTTTACCGGAACAACATTTTCGCAGTG